ATAAATGTTCATATTGCTAATTCTTCTTAGAGAATTGACTTTTTAACCACTATGTAATTTCCATTTTTATTTTTGACACTTTTCCTTGTTCTGAGTCTATTTGGTGTGACATTAATATAGCTACTTAAGTTTTTTTTGATTAGTGTTAGCATGGTATATTTCTTCATTTCTCTAACTTATTTGAGTCTATATCTATAGTGGGCTTCTTGTATACAACATCTATTTGGGTCTTTTTTTAATCCACTCTGACAAGCTTTGCTTTGTAATTGGTATATTGAGAACATTAACATCAAAAAATAATTAATTTTATGCTTGGTTTAACAGCCATCATCTTTGTAACTATCTTTTTCATCTACTGCATTTATTCTTTGTTCACCTTGTTTAACATTCTCTCTGATTTTGATTGAGCATTTTATATGATTTAATTTTATTTTTTTCTTAGCATATCAATTATATTTATTTCTTTAAAAAACTTTTTCTAGTGTTCGCTCAAGAGCTTATAATATGTATTTTAAATTAATGTAACTCAACCTTCATACTACTTCATGTGTAATGCAGTTACCTTAAAACAAAGCATTCCCAATTCCTTCCTTATGTCCCTTGTGACATTGCTGTTGTTCATCTCACTTTTATCCATATTTATAACCACCAAATACATTGTTAATATTGTTGCTTTAAACAAAAAATAATGTTTTAGATCAACTAAGATTAAGCTCAAAACATTTTACTTAACTTCATTTATTTTTTCTCTGATGCTCTTTCTTTATGGAGATCCAAGTTCTGATCTCTGTTATTTTCTTGCTGTTTGAAGAAATTTTTCACATTTCTTACAGGGAATGTTGGCTAAAAATGTAATTTTTTTCTGAGAAAGTATTTCTTCTCTACTTATAAAGGATATAGAATTCTAGGGTTGATGGTTTTTCTTTCAATACTTTAAATACTTGACTCCATGCTCTTCTTGCTTACGTGGTTTCTGACAAAAAGTCTGATGTAATTGTTATCTTTGTTCCTTTATAGGTAAGGCAATGTCCTTCCTTCTGGTAAGATGATGTCCTTCACTGTGGTATCCTTTAATATTTTCCCTTTGTCTTTCCTTTTCTGCAGTCTGAATACAATATCTTTTTTTTGATGTTTATCCTGGTTGGTTACTTTTATTTAACCAAAGTATTTAACCTTTAAAGTTCTGTGGTTCTGTGATTCTGTGGTTTGTTGTCTGTTATTAATTTTGGAACATTCTTAGCCATTATTACTTTAAATATTTATTTTGCTTAGTTCTCCTTTCTTCTCCTTTTGGTAATCTAATTATGCATATATTTCTTCTTTTGAAATTGTCCCAGAGTTCTTGGATGCTTTGACCCATGTTCCCTGCCCAACCCCCATTCACTTTTTTTCTTTACATTTCAGTTAGGGAAGTTTCTATTGACATGTCTTCAAACTTACTGATTATTTCCTTGGCCTTTCTGAACCTACTGATGAGCCCATTGAAGGCATTCATTATTTGTTAGATGTTTTTAAATTTTTATCCTTTCCTTTTATTTCCTTTGATTCGCTCAGAGTTTCGATCTCTGTTTATATTGCCCATTTTTTTCTTGAACATTGTCTACTTCTACTAGAACCTTTAATATATTAATAATAGTTATTAAAAATTCCCTGTATAACTTTAACACTGTTATATCTGAGTTTGATTCTGATGATTTCTTTGTCTCTTCTTTTTTTTTCTTTTGGTATGCCTTGTAATTTTCTGTTGAAAACTGTTCGTATTGTATCAGGTAATAGAAACTGAAGTAAATAGATATTTTCTGTGAGGATTTATATCACTCTGGCTGGGAGTTAAGCTATGTTTAAGGTTTGCTATAGCTGTATGTTCCAGTAGCTTCAAATTCCTCTAGAGTATTAGTTTCCCCCCTTGATGTGGGCTTCCCTATGTACTCTTCCTCAGAAAGAATCTGTGTCTTGCAGTTCTTTCAGCTGTTAGTATGCATGGTTAGTATACAGGATCATTTTTGGTGTGACGTTAAGGTATGGGGAAGAAGGCTCTGTCAATCTTTTTAATTTTCTTTTTGACTTAAAAAATGATGTTCTTTCTTTCACTTTCTATATCTCTCTCTCTCTCTCTCTCTCTCTTTTTTTTTTTCTTTGAGATGGAGTCTAGCTCTGTCACCCAGGCTGGAGTGGAGTGGCGCTATCTCAGCTCACTGCAAGCTCTGCCTCCCAGGTTCACGCCATTCTCCTGCCTCAGCCTCCCGAGTAGCTGGGACCACAGGTGCCCGCCACCATGCCCGGCTAATTTTTTATATTTTTAGTAGAGATGGGGTTTCACTGTGTTAGCCAGGATGGTCTCAGTCTCCTGACCTCATGATCCACACCCCTCGGCCTCCCAAAGTGCTGGGATTAGAGGAGTGAGCTACCGCGCTCGGCCTCTATATCTCTTAAGTAAGTAATTTTTGCTGTGTTTATGTGCTGTATGTTCTCTTTTGCTGTCTTCATTTCTGAAATATATATATATTTAAATTTTTATGTATTTCCTGAGTTCTCTTTCCAAATTTCTAAGTATTTCTAATTTTGGTTAGGTTGTTATTTCATGTCTTAAACCACATTAAGTGCTTCAGCTCCTTTTAAAAGAATAGGTTAAAGTTTTGATATATTTTGTGGGCAAGTCTTTCTGGAATGCTTTCAATGACTATAAGAAGATTATTCTACTTGTTATTCTCTTATTTTTTATAATAGCTTGGTATAGGATTGCCATCAATATATTTTGTTGCTCATTTTTGTGTAAAACACTTCCCTGAACTTTTAGAAATAGCATGGTTCAGGATTGTTTATTTATTTATTTTTTAACTCTATAGAGCTTTCTCTTTGGTTGCTTTCATGTAGTGTTTCAAAACATGATAGCTAGAATCCCTTCCCACTTTAACCTGTATAGCCCTTATTGTAAGTGATTTTGATTTCACTCACACAGTTCCTTTCAGGGCTTTATCATGAGAGGGAGATTAGATAGTCAGTTTCACGAGTTCATAGTGTCTTGATGGTTCAAGCTCTTCAGGCCTTTCAAAATGTTATTGGATTGAGCAAACTCCTTCCCACTCTCATTTGCTTTCTTAATTTGGCTCACAGCACTTCTCAGTGCATATCTGCTGGCTATGTTGAGAACATCCTTTTGTTGCCCAGTGTGACATGCCCAGTACTTCTTTCTGCTTTCTCCCATATAGGTACTGATATCACACACATTTTGGGGCCATTGGGGGATTGTTGCAACCCACTTCTATGTTGGAATGTTTGGTCTATCACCCTTTTTTGTTATAAATATAGTCTATGAGGTTTTGGTTTTGCTATCTAGTTTGTCAAATTTGTAAGAATTCTGAGACATTAAGAAATGTACCATCTGTGCCATCATCTTCCTGGAATCCCCTCTCTCTTTCTAATGTACCCTGCTAATTAGGGGGAAAGTCAAGCATGGCCAGCCCTTGCATATTAGTTATCTTGAACATCCTTCTTCCACAGCATCATGCAACAATCTTCCTAAAAATCTCCTGGGGTTCCTTCCTGCCCTCAGGGTCAGTTCCAAAGTCTTTAACATAGTTATGAACATTGAACTTCTGCTGATTCTCTCCTTTTTCAGCCATAGTGTCTACTATACTCTTGCACAAGCCCTTTGCTATAGGCTCTCACATTTACTCACTATTCTATAAACACAAGGTCTTTCTCACTTGTATGACTTTGCCAGAGCAGTTTTCCAAATAGAATAGTCTCCTACTTTTTTCTCTCTCATCTTACTCAACTCAAATCCTTTTCTGCAAATTTTTCCTTGAAGTCATGTGGTCAGAATGAATCACTGATTTTGATGCAAAGCAGTCTTGTAACTAAAAGCACAGACTCTGTCTCTGGGTTCAAATTTCAGCTCAGATATTACACAGACATGTGACCTGGGATAAATCCTCATCTACAAATGGGAATTGGAATGCTGCCTCACTCATCAGTTATTTTTGAGGCTTTTTGAGACAATCCATGTAAAAGATGTAGTACTTTCCTGGCATGTATAAGTGTTTAGTAACTGGGAGCCATTGTTAATGTCTTTGTCACCTACTAAATTATGTCTTAGAGGTTACAGAACCTCTTCTTCCAAAACTGTATCATCCTCAGGGGCTATAATGTTCCTTTGCCTGTATTAAGTATTTAAAAAACATTTGTTGATTTTTTTTAATCATGTGAAAGGGGAAAACTCATGGTAAGTATAGGGAGAAGGCAATTTAGCTGAGAAAAGAGGTAGGAGCTAGCTTATAGTTTAGAGGAGATGAAAAAGCATGGCTATTGGATTAATCCAGAACTAGCTTCAAATCCTGGCTAGAGCATCTATAACCTGGACAATATGCGTCTAATAGAGGGTTAAGAACCTAGGCTCTAGAGCTAGTCTTCCTGGGTTGAATCTAGGCAGTGACATCTTTGAATGATGAGATCTTAGGGAATTTATTTCACTATTATGAACCTCAGTTCCCTCCTCTTTAAAGTGAGGATAATCATGGCACCTACCTCATGAGGTTGTCATGGGGATTCCAGAAGCTTTTGTATGTAAAGTATTTAGAACAGTGGCTGGCCACAAACAGGTGTTTGCATTATTATTAAAGTGTTGATTTTGCAGACCCAAGGATGTATGATGCTGTATCTGTGAATGAATTATACTAACCAAAGCACAAGTAAATGGTGATTGACGTTCTTATACTTATTTTCTGCATTCATGGGTGTCATGTCAAATAAGAGTGGGGCCTAGTTTCATTTTGGTTGTTTTTATTAAGATTGGGAAAAAGATTATTGTCTGGGCAGAGTTTTGGGATTATTAGCAGAGTAAGACAACCAGAACAGACATTGAAACAGTCAAACGTTTTGGTATGGGTCCTGGACTCAGTTATTTGAAATTCCAATCCTTTGAAAAGTCAACTGGCTGACTCCAGGTGAGGAATCTCACAAAGATATATCACCGGATCAATTAGTTCTTTCATATTTACCTTGAAGAAGGAAGCAAACTTTGTATTGCCGTGATAAATAGAAGAACGATAAACGCACAGACCAAGTTTGACTTGAACACTTCATCCCTCATTTGAGAATACTGTAATTAAAAAAACAGAGAATGAGTTACTTTGCAGCAGAGTTGGGTTTTGGAAGAATTAAGTTTTAGTGATATTTGAGGTTGAGGGAAACATCAAGAAGAAACAAGACAATTAGATTTTTTTTAATTAAGAATAATTCATATCTTAATAAAACCTTCACAGAGCATTATCCCCATCCCTCCTGCCAACTTTCCAGTGAGAGCCCAGGAGTAAATACAGTGGGAGGGATACTTTGTATGAGCTTATCCAGTTCTTCCCCTCCCTCTGAACTAACATTATTTTAACAGAACAGAAGAGCACACATCCATATATGCAGCAAATCAAATTTGCATTGACTTTCTTCATGAGTAAACTTAAGTCATTTAAGGATCTTGCACTGTTTCGTGTTAAGTTGGGAACACAGGGAAATGTTTTACCAGGAAGTCTTTCTGCCTCCTTTTCTTATTAAAAATAAATTCTCAGGCTCTTAAAATAGAAAATAGCCTGAGAGATCTCCAGCTAGTGCAGCCCTTTCATTTCACAGAAGAGAAACCAAGACTAATAGACCAATATGCTTGATGCCCTTCTGTGTCTGCTCAAGGCAGCCCTGGGGAATGGTGGTAACTTTATTTTGATTATCCAGAGTACTCAGTAATTTCATTGTCTAGCTTTAAAAGCTTCTAGAAGGTCAGCACTCAATGTGTATTTGCCTTACTTCTGCCTAGACTCTTGAACCATCTTGGAGCTACTAAGCTGGGGAATATCTACTTCTTGCAGAAGGTGGGAAGTTTTTTAAACTGAAAAAGACCTTAGAATTAGCCTAAACCAAGCCCCACATTTGACCTTAATGAGAGAGAGGTCTAGTAGCCAGCAGGTTATTTTATTTTTGGGGGACAGAGAACTAAGCATCACTTTGAAACTTTGTAATCCCTGATTTGCATTTCATGGTTACTTCATACAGGGTGCTAGCAAATAGAGGTCTCACGACATCTTAGGCTTCATGTCCACAATACCAAGACAAGGTTTCAGTCAGGTCAAGAAATAGTAAAATCAGTCCAATCTGTTGTTGATATGGTGTTTGCAAAATCAACAGTTACATGATTTTTATTCTCTTCTGACTTCTTGGTGTGGTCTGGGTTTTAGACTGAACCCCGCTGACGCTTCTCAGTGTCATAGCTAAGGTTTGGAGAATATCCTGCAGTTGTTGAGCTCTCTGGGTGAAGCACCATGCTGTTTAGAGACTGCACAGTTATTGCTTTTGCAGGGCAATGCTTTTTCTGCTCTCCAGTATTAAGGCCTCTGTCCACTTGCTGACAACCTGCTTGTTATCTGGAGGGGAGCCAGGAACATGGCTCTGAAGAATCACTGTAAGCCATCCTCAATCCTGATAAAACCACAGAAAGCCCATATTATTAATAGTTATCAATGGTGCTACCCAAGAACAGGTCACAATCATAGAGGCCTACCCAGAGCAGCTCGAAAGTTATTTAGCCACAAAACAGTTAATTCAAAGAAAGATAAATGTTTGAATTCCTTCTAACAACAAATTACAGAGGATCTAATTATTCTTTGTTGGCTTACTGATTAATTTTTTTTTTTTTTTGAGATGGAGTCTCGCTCTGTTGCCCAGGCTGTAGTGCAGTGATGTAATCTTGGCTCACTGCAAGCTCCGCCTCCCGGGTTCATGCTATTCTCCTGCCTCAGCCTCACGAGTAGCTAGCATTACAGGTGCCCACCACCACACCTGGCTACTTTTTTGTAATTTTAGTAGAGACGGGGTTTCACTGGATTAGCCAGGATGGTCTTGATCTCCTGACCTCATGATCTGCTTGCCTTGGCCTCCCGAAGTGCTAGGATTACAGGCATGAGCCACTGCGCTCGGCCATCTTACTGGTTAATTTTAAACCAGCATGATTGCATAGATTTGATAATGAACATTTAAAAACAGCAGTAATAATAATTTTAGTGTAGTTAATCAGTACACTAAAATTCCTCCTTTTCTTCTTTTTCTTTTTTTGAGATGGAATCTTGCTGTTGTCACCCAGGCTGGAGGGCAATGGCACGACCTCGGCTCGCTGCAACCTCTGCCTCCTGGGTTCAAGTGATTTTCCTGCCTCAGCTTCCCAAATAGCTGGGATTACAGGCACCCACCACCACGCCTGGCTAATTTTTGTATTTCTAGTAGAGATGGGGTTTCACCATGTTGGCCAGGCTGGTCTCAAACTCCTGACCTCGTGATCCACCCACCTCGGCCTCCCAAAGTGCTGGGATTACAGGCATGAGCCACCGTGCCTGGCCCTTTTCTTCTTTTATGTCATCCATCATCATCATCATCATCATCATCATCACTTGTCATCGTCACTATCATCATCACAGCATCTTGGACTTGTAATTGACCATTGCCTTCCCAATTCAGAAATCCGTTTCATAACATTCTTGATGTCTACTCAAAGGTCTGTTGATTATCATCCGATGACCTTCTCTGCTTTATCTGGGAAAGTGGGTTTCTTTTCTCTGGTCCTGAGCAGGGCATCTCAGGATTCCAAACACCCTCAATTTGAACACTCAGATCCTGAGCCTGAGAGCTCATTCCTTTGTAAAGGCTTCCTTTCCATTATTGACCCATGATCCTATGAAAAGATCCTTTCCTATAGATCCCAAGCCTGAGTCTCTGTGACTCCTTTCATGAATGTTTTCTACTGATGACTTAAAAAATGTCACATGATCATCATTTGTCCAGACTAAAGTTGCAGAAGATATTATATTTTCAATTTTCTTCAGATGGCAAATAGGATGGAGACAAAGTATGAAGACTTACTTTGCTTTTAGATCTGTCATTATTTTATTGTGAGCAAAGCCAATTTCCTTGAACCCCACTTTTCTCATCTGTCAAATGGGAACATTAATACAGTTCTTAAGTTTGGCATTAATGTAGTTCATAAGTTTGAAGCATTCTATTATTTTCCTGTTTGAACTTCAGTGCCTAGCATAGCCACATAAAAGAAGAATCTTATAATATTTGTGAAGTTGACATCATCAAATATAAAATACTGGGTTTCAGAATGTGGTGCATTGTGACTTTGGAAAAGCAAGGAGAGCAGGACTTCGAAAAGAAAATTCCTAATTGGCTCAAAATGGTAGAGTACTGAGATTGAGTAGTGATTCATTTCACTTCCTCCTGACTTGTAAAGGTCTGAACACTCTGGCTCATAGCTTTATTAAGTTAGTTGTGTGCTTATGCCTGCCAAAGTTAGAGACTCCTTGTCTCATCCCTGTTCTGTCCTCACCTGGCCCCACTTATCCTTTTATATCTCAGTTGTGAGCATGAACTAATCAAGAGGTAGATTAACTGGGTTTGAATCCCAGCTGTAACACCTATGGACAAAATCTTTAAGCTTTCTATGTCTTAGTTTCCTTATCTAGAAAATGGATATAATAATAGGAATTATCTCATAAGGGTTACTGGGAGAATGAAATGAGGTAATATATATAAGATGCTTAGAACAGTGCCTTGCACATGATAACCCTATATAAATGTTACCTACTGTCAATCAATTAATTATACTTATTTTATTTCTATATTTTCATCAATATAGAACCTTGCCTTTTCAATGGTGTTGCCTTGCAGGATGCTGTCTTCTATTCCTCTGTACAGTATTGTACCTTGCACTCAGCAGTGACCCCAAAAGTGTTGTTGACCGATTTTTCCACCATGTTATAAAAGATTCTTCTAAAGAAATTATGATCTCATGTGTGTTTTTTTTAACTCGGAAGAAGACCCCATTCTCATTATTCCCCTTGCTTCTTGAAAGATTACCCACCACCGGGTAGAATTCTTAACTTTTATAGGATCCTTAGGAAAATTGTTCTTGGAAATGACCTGTGAACCCTTATAATTTACTGAGCCCTTGGTTTACAAGAGAACTTGGCAATCACACACACACACACACACACACACACACACACACACACACACACACATACATATATATATATATTTTTCAGATAAGAAACTTGAGGATCAGAAATGTGAAAGAGCTTGTCATGGTCAGTCGGTGGCAAAATTCAGATACTTGGAACAAATCACAAATACTTCCTTGGAGATCTTAGATTAGGATTTGGAATATTATTATTTCTCAATCTTTAGGGTCTTAGTTGATTCAAAAAAGGGTCAAAATCTAGGGTAAGGAATTTGAATAACAATGACTAATATCTAGTGCAAGGCCGGTGCTGTGCTACGCGCTTTACATGAATGTTCTCATTTAATTATTACGGGTCTTGTTTATCATATCCTCACTTTGTAGATAAAGAAACTGAGGATTTGAATACCTGAGCAACTCAATCACACCTTCACAGATTGCAAATAGAGAATCCAAAGAGCTTTGCTCTAGAATGCAGGGTCTCACTGGCTACTGCTTCCTTGCTATTTTCAGAGTAAGGCTATCTTGTTCATAGATGCATGCTCAGACTTCTTGGGTATATTTCAGTGATGCAATTTATGATACAAAGAAAGGGAATGTATTAAAAATTTGAGCCTATGTAAATCTTGGTTAGAATGAAAGTGAAGCATATAGGCAAAGAATGGATATTAGAAACAGCCTAAGAATTAGTTTAATAAAATGCCACTGCTATATTTTCTTGATTGACGAATGAATCCTCAGCACAATGCAGTGCAAAATAATGAGCCCCTTTCTAGGCCAGGATGGGTGAACTGATAATAGGGAAGAAAACAAAAGATGGTAGATTTTATTTAAATGCAACAGAAGATGAGTGACCACAATCTTCAAATGATAAATAAATCATTTCAAAAATGAAAATTCCTATTTGATTTGATGAAATTCAGACTCGTTCCTTCTGAGGAAGTGCAGCAGGATAAACTCGTGTTTCATTTTGTTCATGTCTGGGGATTCTGGCCCTGAATTATCTTGAAAGACATATTCAGAAATGAAATCATAGTCATGAAGGTCAGTGGGTTTTTAGATCCACCACAAAGAAGCTGGGAAACCCCAGTCTGATCACA